CGGGCGACTTCGCAGCGCTGGAGCGAGCAGCGGCTGCTGCAGCGGCGCCGGCAAGCGCATCGACGCTGAAACGCGACCAACTCGGTCGCCCGCTGCTTCTGGCGGACACGGGAGCCAGCCACGAGTTGGTGTCCTACGGCCACGCGGCGGGTGAACCAGCGTCACCACCAGTCAGTCGCAACTACGAGCGTGGAGCTCCAGGTTGCGACTGGCGGCCGGGAAGCGCAGCTCGGCGTGGATGAGAAGCTATACGTCTACTCGCCCACGGAGCTGCAGCCACTCTTCCCGCTCGCGGCGGTGAACGAGGAGCTCGGCCTGCAGATGAATTGGAGCCCGTCGATTTGCGAGGCGCGGCTGCCGGATGGCAGGACGATCGACTTCATCAGGGACGGCGGGTCCATCTACTTGGACGAGGACAGCGCCGACGTGCTGAGGCAGCTGAGGACCGCCATGCGCGAGCGTCGGGCTCGCGCTGCGCTGGCCCGGGCAATTGCCGCCGCGGTCAGCTTGCACGATCTGGAGCGTCATCGTGCCGAGGGCCACCCACGGTTCATGGCGGAGTGCGGCGAGTGCCGACAAGCCGCAGGCCGGATGCGCCCGCACCTGAGGCTTGACCAGACGACGCGCCCGGGCGGGCAGCTGAGCGTGGATCTGTCGGGCCCGCACCCGCCAGGGCGGTGGTCGAGCAGCTGGCAGGAGGATCAGCCGCGCCGCGCCGTGTACTTCATGGTGGCGGCTTTCGCTGTGTTCACCCGCAGCGACGCGGCAACCGCGGAGGAGAACGAGACCTTCGCGCGCGCCGCCGCGGAGCTCCAGGATCCAAGCGCTTCAGAGCTCGCCGACCTGGAAGCATCGCTACACCCGGAGGCTGCGGCTTCCGACGCGGCCGGCACGGTCGCGCAGCGCGCCGCCATGAACGCCCGCCTCCTCATCGCGGTCGCCCGGGCGCGATCGCAGGAGGAGGCAAGGGAGGATGAGCAGTGCAAGGACGTGCAATTGCCAGCGGAGCCGAGGACATGGCACTACGCCCGGCCGCTGGCAACGAAGACAGCGAGCGAGACGTTGGCGGCTATGGAGTCCATCAACGTCGAGGTCTGCGCGGAGCTCGGCTGCAAGGCGGCCTACCGCATCCATGCGGACCGAGCGGGTGAGCTGGCGGGGCCAGTCATCAAGCGCGAGATGGCCGCGCGCCACGACATCGCGACCACCAGCACGGCCGGCGCGGAGCCGAACTCGAACGGCCGAGCTGAGCGAGCCGTTGGCCTGGTCAAGGGCAAGGCTCGCGCGATGTTGCTGGCGCCCGTCTTCACGGCGGCCGACCGCCAGGCCCTATGGCCAGCCGCGGTCTGCCACGCAGCGTGGTGTCAGAGACGCGCCGCGCAGGGACGCTCGTTCGCGGGCATCCCTCCCTTCGGAGCCGCGGTGCACGCGCGCCTGAAGGATCAGCAGGGGACCTTCGAGCCCCGCGCGGTGCCGAGAGTGTACCTCGGCGCGGTGCCTGACGTTACGCACGGCGCGCTGCTGGGGCACAAGAAGGGCGGCGAGTGGCACTTCGAGGTCAGCTCGTCGTTCGCGGTGGACCGGGCAGCCGCCGACAGCAGCCCGGCAGGGCCGCCGGGCGCCGCCGCCGCGTCTGACCGTGTCGCGCTGCCCGCGCTGCCGCCTGGGCTCCCGCCAGGCCTCGGAGGAGGCGACGCCGTCGTCGCAGGCGACGGCCACGTCGCGCCGGCAGCTGCGGCGCCTCAGGGGGATCAGGAGGAGGAGGAGCAGCAGCAGCAGCAGGATCCTCTCAGATTCGAGGTCCCTCCCGAGGTGCGCTGCCCCGCGTGCCTGGGGCGCAAGCGAGCCCACACCCGAGACAGATACTGTCTCAAGGGGGAGCGGGTGCGGCTCCCTGAGGACGACGTGTTCGAGGGAGGGCCGCACGAGGCAGCTGCATGGTCATGCCCTGCGTGCCGCGGCCGGCATCGGCGGCATACATACGACGAGCGGTGCCGCCTTGGCACAGGAGCCGGCGGGGCAGCAGCAGCGGAGGCTGGACCTTCGGCAGCGGCCGCCGCCCTCGTGCTGCCCTCGGACCCTGTGGCGATCGAGTCTGCTGCAGACCACGTCGAGGGTCGCTCCGACGACGTGCACGATGAGCGTGGGGACGACCACGACGACGACGACACCGAGCTCCCGGCCTTCCAGGAGATCGATAAGGAGTCCGGTATGCAGCCGGTGTCGACCGCCGAGATTCGCGCGAGTTTCGGAGCCGAGAGGGAGGGCTGGCGACTTGCCCTCGACAGCGAGTTGTCCAGCCTGCGCTCCAAGGGGGCGTTCGAGGTGTTGACCGAGGCGGAATCAACCAGGGTCCCCACGGGCAAGATTATCCCCATGAAGGTCGCTGCTGGTACGAAGCCAGCCCTGGCCGCAGAGCTGGAGCGCCGTAAGAAGGCGCGCGCGTGCATCTGCGGGAACTACCAGGAGCGGAGGGCCGGGGAGGACGTGCACAGCGGAAACATTGACGCTTCGAGCCTCCGCCTGGTGCTCGCGGTCGCAGCGGCCCAGAGGTGGAGCTGCTCCGCGCTGGACGTCGCCACCGCCTTCCTGAACGCGCCTCTGCCGGAGGAGGTGGGGGACATAGTGGTTCGACCTCCTTCGATCTTCAACCATTTTGGTTTGATCCAGCCGGGTGAGCTTTGGCGCGTGCGGCAGGCGATTTACGGCCTCCGCATTGCGCCGAAGGCATGGGGCGACAAGAGGGACCGCCAGATGAGGGCCATGAGCATCAAGTACTTGGGCGAAACGTGCACGCTGAGGCAGTCGCACGTCGACCCTTGCCTGTGGTCCGTCGTCGCCGTGTCGGGCAAGGTAGCGGGGTACGTGTGCGTGTACGTCGACGACTTCGCCCTCTTCGGCCCGGACGCGGTGGTGTCCGAGCTCGGGCGCCTGATGTCGGAGACGTGGAAGTGCAGTGTGCAATCGCTGATTTCGTTCAGCGCTCCAGGGACCATCAAGTACCTCTCCCTGTCCATTGAGGCTCGGCCCGACGGGTACTACGTGCACCAGTACGAGTACACCAACGATCTGCTTGAGAAGTGGGGCCTGGACCGCGGCAACTCCGCCGGCACGATCGCCATCGAGCCGCTCCCGGCCGGCGATCCCGAGCTGCAGGGCCAGGAGGAGCCGGAGATCGCGGATATTAGGCTGGCGCAGAAAATGTCAGGTGGGTTGCTTTGGCTCTCGGGCCGGACCCGGCCAGACATTGCGCATGCTGTTTCACGCGTCGCGTCCGCTGCAGCTGCTCATCCCCATTGGGCCCTTCGCCTAGGAAAGCGGATCCTTAGGCATCTCGCTGGCACGCGCCATTACGGTTTGAGTTTTAGGCCTGGGGGGAGGGCGTCTTTGGAGGTGTTCGCCGACGCGTCATTCGAACCAGAATGTGCGCAAACAGGCATTGCCGCTTATTTTCACGATTGCCTCATTGACTGGCGCTCCTCGAAGCAGCCGCAGCCCCCGCGCAGCACCGCCGAAGCGGAAGTGACCGCTCTGGCGATGGGCGGCCTGGTGCTGGAGGGCACCGAAGCCGTCTTGAACTCTATGTTCGTGCAGCCTGAGGTCACCCAGATGTGGGGTGACAACTCGGCTAGCCTGTGCATTTTCCAAGGGCACGGGTCATGGCGGACCCGCTGCCTAGCCAATCGTGCCGCGGCCATTCGTGCCAGGGTCGAGGCAAAGTTACTCGACCTTGGGCACGTGCCCTCAGAGGAGCAGCGCGCCGATGGATTGACGAAGACTTTCAGCGTCCCCGGAATGACCAAAATCCGGGCGCATTTCGGACTCAAGGATTTGCGACAGCCGCACGGGCAGCTCGCCCGAGCGAGCCGCCTGGCCCATTCAGTATCGCCGTTTCTGTCGATATGATTGCGAATTTGTGATCATTTTCGGCGCCGCCGCGCCAGTAGAGTTTTGAACCTCAAGGTGCCGGGATGCACCGGTGTCGATGGACACGCTGGCGCGCGAGTGCTTGGTCAGGCATGTTTGTTTGTACATATGTTGATTTCAGCGCAGTTGTGGTCGGACTGGCCTCCCCCTCCTCCCGGGTCGCGGACCCGAGGCATCCTTGCAGGCGATTGCGACTAGCTGCGTCGACGCCCGCAGGATGAGGAGGAGCGTGGATGAGGGGGCTTGCCGTGTCCACCCCTGATTCGTTTTGGGCCCAAAGGGGTTACAGATTCAAGTGCGCACAGCGCGTTCCGGCAGGGCTCTGCCGGAACCCGATGGTGACAATCAGTATCGCGCAAGGGTGGAGGACCCCCAGCCCGCGACCGTTTAGATTGCCACAGAGCCGGTTTTATGCGGATAGGCCGGTACACCCAAAATCACAATTCCGGCAAGAGTTGTATAGATTTTCCGCCAGTGCTTAGGGGAACGCTTCGACCTGCATCGTGCCAAGGGCTCGGTGCTGCCCAGGAGGTGGTGGCAACGCCACCTCCTGGACCACCTCAGGCATACAGTTTTGGTGCCTCGGGGTTGCTTGAGGCGGAGGTGGTGGCAACGCCACCCCCGCTTGCGGACACGAGCTGTCCGTAAACTTTGGCTCAAGGACCGTTTGCACTGAGCGCAAAAATGGTCCGCACCCGAACCGACGATAGCGAGCGAGAGCGCCTCTTCACTCGCCTCGCTATCTCAGTGAACACATTATTGAGATTACGATTCCGACTCCCCGTACCACCACATCTGGGGCAGCCATTGCCCATCAGGCCTCCAGAGGCCCTCAGGCTCCTCAGGAGACTGGCGAGGAGGCAGGACATCCTGGACGACACATGTTCGGAGGAGAATCCAGCAGTGGTGGAATCGGAGACGGAGATGTCGGACGGTTAGCTCTTCAACGCCCTCCCCCCCTCCCCCCCCGCCCTCCCCTCCCCCCCTCCCCCCCGCCCTTCCCGCTCCTCCGACCCAGGGGAGGACCCGAGCCGGGCAACACCCCGCGCACGCGACCGCCGCCCGTGCCCCGCCAGGGAGCCGAGCGTGCCGCTGCCCGCGGCCGGGTTGGAGGAGGCGCTGCCGAAGATGCCGCGGACCTCTGACCAGGGTCAGAGAAGGGGGGCTCGCGGGTTCCTCGAACCTCGATCCTCCTCCTCCTCCTCCTCCTCCTCCTCCTCTCCTCCTCCTCCGCCTCCTCCGCCTCCTCCTCCTCCTCCTCATCCTCATCCTCCTCGATCCTCCTCGATCTCCTCCTCCTCTCTCCTCCTCCTCCTCCTACTACTCCTCCTCCTCCTCCTCCTCCTCCGCTCCTCCCTCTCCTCCTCCTCCTCCCCTCCTCCTCCTCCTCCTCCGCCTCCGCCTCGGCCTCCTCCTCCTCCTCCTCATCATCCTCCTCCTCGTCCTCCCCTCCTCCTCCCCACACCACCCCTTTCCTCCTAAGACTCCTCGTCTTCCTCCTCCTCCTTCTCCTCCTGCTTTCTCCTTCCTCCTCCTCCTCCTCCTCCTCCCTCCCTCCTCCTCCTCTCTCCTCCTCCTCTCCCTCCTCCTCCTCCTGCTCCTCCTCCTCCTCCTCCTCGTCCCCTCCTCCTCCTCTCCTCCTCCGCCTCGCCTCCTCCTCCTCCTCCTCTCCACCTATGGTGGTGGTGGTGGTGGTGGTGGTGGTGGTGGTGGTGGTGGTGGTGGTGGTGGTGGTGGTGGTGGTGGTGGTGGTGGCGGTGGTGGTGGTGGTGGTGGTGGTGGTGGTGGTGGTGGTGGAAACCAGGCCCGTCATCATGGTTCCTCGCGTCGAGGACAGCTTGCTATGGCCCGACGGGGCCAGCGACAGGCCTCCGGAGGCCCATGCTCGGAGAAGCTGGCCGTCCTGGCCTCCACGGCAGGCCGACAGGTAGGTCGGGCACGCCCCTCTACAGGAGGAAGACTCAAGAATATCCAAAAATAGGCAGAAACGATGCTCTGCTATGTTTGACCATTTTTGGATATGTGTTGTATCCTTCGTCCAGAATCCGCCTGTATGGGGGACGTACACGACCTAAGCCGAGAGCCGAGATCCCACGCCGTGGAAAAGCCGCGGCGTCGCGAGAAATCGCGCCCCAGAGCTCGACACCGCTTTCTCGTAGAGGGGGGGGGGGGGGGGAAACGGCACGCACATACACTCGGGCTTGATTGGACAGGACACACGCGTGAGGATACGAAAACCCTTCCGAGACGCAGGACACACAAGGTACCCTTGATTTGGCAGGGTCGACCTACTAATCCGGGCCGGCTGTACCGTCGGGGCGTTGACCTAAGGAACCCAAAATCAGGAACGAGGCCCCTTTTCTCCAGAAGTTCAACTTCGACTTCCCATCGAAAATCCAAGGATAACCTTGGGCAAAATGTGAAACAATGAAGGGACACGGAGCCCCTCCCCAATGAAAAGGGTTCCTTATTCAGAGCCCCGACTGTACGATCTCAACGCTCCAGCAGGCGCCCGACAGACCCCCGAGGGGGCTCCAGGCGGCCCCCAAAGGGGGGCCCAACAAGGTGCTCCCCGAGAGGCCCCCATCGAGCGGCTCTCCCGCGAGGCAACCGGCCCCACCCGTGGACGTCGCATCTCCTGGACGGAGAGGGAGAGGGAGGGGGAGGGAGGGAGGGAGGAGGAGGAGGAGGAGGAGGAGGAGGAGGAGGAGGACGAAGAGGAGGAGGCGGAGGAAGGGGAGAAGGAGGAGGAGGAGGAGGAGGAGGAGGAGGAGAAGGAGGAGGAGGAGGGAGGAGGAGGACGAGGGAGGAGGGAGGAGGGAGGAGGGAGGGGTCCAGCGCAGACTCAGGAAGGACTACCTACCAAACCACCCCAACCCAAGTCGAAGACCCGAATTTCGGGTTGGGGTGGTGCTGTCCCAAGTGCTGTCTCAAGATGTTCCCCGAGTCCCCCCCAAACTGGCAATGGAGGGCACATCGGGGCCTTCGGGTTGGGTTGGGGTGGTTTGGTGGGCGGTGAAGGAAATCCGCGCGGTGGGTCGAAAGCTTATGTTTAAGACGTGGTTTCCTCGCCGACCTCTGCAACGCGTATCGAGCTCGGTGGGCCGTGACAGCGACAAGGCGGCGTCTCGAATGGTTACGATGCTCTCCCGTTTCGTCGTTCGTTTCCGGCGTGTTTGTTTGTTTCGCGCTTGTCTCGTCAGACACTAGCGTCGACAAGCTTCGCCGTTTCCTGATGGTGCCAGGCGTCGTTTTTGTCACCGACTCCAGCGAATGGTTTTTCTCGAATTCACGTCCCTTGTCTGCCCCCTGGCGCAGGTCCTGAACTCTTCCAATCTGGACCATTTGCGAACCAATTCCGAGCGTGCCTCGGCCTCCAAGGCCCCCAATCCTCCTCCCCCCATTTTTCTTGTTTCCGCCCTCGTCGAGTGCAGCGTTCGTTTCAATTGTTATGGTTTCGGTTGCCTATTTTCCGATTGGGTGAGGCTGGAGCTCGATCTGATCGCCATGGCCTGAATCGAACCCGTCCAACCGCGGCGGCGAAGGTGCCCCGCTCAACGGACGACGACAACGACGACGACGACGATGACACGGACGACAGACGACGGACCACATTGCGACGGACGACAACGACGACGGATGACGACTGACGACAAACGACGACCACGGCGACCACGACAACGGATACGACAACGGATACGACAACAACAGGCGACGACGGCCGACGAACACCACGACGCCAGACGACGACCGCGATGACCACGACGACGACAACAAAAACAGCAACGACGTGTACGACGAATACGACGACGACGTTATGCTGTTCGTCAGTCTGCCTGCCCGACGGTATGCGGCAACCCGCGTGCAGACGGGGCGTGATAGCAAAGATCCGACCTTAGAAGCCGATGATTCACCTATACTCCTTGAGATCTGCCCAATGCCCGTAGTCTAAATCCACGTTGTGCCAGTCGTCGCTCGAGATGTTTGAGAATTGGCGTCCGTATCGCCACGTTTGAAAACATGTGCCATGACATTGCTGGCCGCAAGATTGCTCCAAAGTGGTGAAAGTACTCAACGCCACGGAAGTGCACGACCTGCCAAAACATCATGTCCTGTACATACCTGCCAAAACCCGCCGCATGCCCAGCAAGCGTCAAAACTCGTTTTCCAGGCGAACGTTTCCCCAGCGTTCCACTTTGCACTTTGCCCAAAGCAGGTCATGCTTTCAGAGATCGATCAAATGGCAACGGTCCACAATCAAGTTATCGTCCCAGTCGGAATCAAAAGTATGATGCGTTTCTGCTGGGATCCTGGATTCGGTGGCGAAGACACTCCGCATCATCTTGTTTTCTGGTGCCCGCATTCGCTTAAGATGCCCATTCGTTACGCACAAAGCGCAATGTTTAAAGTGAGAGTTTTGCAGATCACGGGCTTGCTGTGATTTGCGAATGTAGCCTAAAACGTTCGTCGTCCCCCGTTCCACCTCTACGGTCGCACCGTCGCCCATAGTACGCATGCGCCCTAAGACTCTGAAGCGCCGGGCACGCAGAGTGAATGAATGAGAAACCTTAGGCTTGTCGCTCGCCTTCGTGGCACGTTTTGTCTGGCGGGGTCTGCGGAAGACGAGTCTGGGTTTGTCCACACGTCGCGGATAACCAATGAAAGCTGGCAATATTCCGTAGATGGTCATGCGCACGTAATAAATTCCACGATCCACCCGTGATATCGCACCCAGGCGTGCCAAGCATCGACCCTGTTCTGCAACCGAACTTTCGAACGCGCCAAAACCAGCAATTCTCTCCAAAAGTGAGGGCGGGAAACCGCCCAGGACCTTCCCACACTCCTGGCGCCCATCCGGCCGTCTGCAGCGCCAGAAAGCTGCACAGGAGCGCCCCAACCATGCTCCGCACACGGTGCCAAGAAGGCGGGCGGTGCTGCACTGTTCTGAGCCTGCGGGGTCTCCTTGTTCAGTGCTGCGCGCGCGCTGTGCTGGAATCGTCAGTTCTCCTCTTGGGAAGCGAAAGCGCCCCAGATCATGCCTCAGTGATCTGAAGGGGCCCACAACACACACAAATAAATGCACACAAATAACAAGAATCCCCGTATGTTCCCATATTTTCTGGGTTTTTGTCTTCCCCCCACTTCCTATATTGTCCCATATTTTCCTGGGAGTCGACGATTAGTTGTGTCTGTGTGTTTTCGTTCCCTCCTGATGATCAACTTCGGCACGCCATTTGTTTGAAAATCATCGGCCCCGGCGCCGTAATCAACAGCACCGTAGCACCGCACGCCTTTTTGTTGCACATCCCCGTCCAACATCAACAAGCCAAAATCGGATTCGAGCGCCTTTTTCCGTCAACATGCGAAGCATGACTTGTACCCTGCGACTGGGCAAGACTTCCTAAATGCGGACTGGTGCCGAGACAGCTCATGCCCGAGCTTTCCCACCTCCGAGGTTTTCAATCACATGTAGACTGCAATATGCATATACTTCTATATGAAAATCGGGATCATAATAGTTTCTATCAAGCGAATGCCAAGATCATCACAAACATGGTCCTCCGCAACGGCTGGGTCATTTACCAGTCACAAGCCAGAAATTAGAAGCCATATTACAACAAAGTTCCTCTGGCGCCTCATGCAGCATCTCGGCAACCACCATGTCTGACCTGACACAACTCTTTCCCCTCTCGAGCTTGGGGTACGATTTCGCGTGACGAAGTTAGCTCGATTGCATATGTTATGGATCGGAGGTTGGGGGGTGAGATCGCAGTGTAACGGAGTCCCCCCACCGGGAAATCGAGTTTCGAGTTCGTGTTCGTGCCGTGCGTGCGGGCGAGGCGAAGCTGCGTGGGCCAGCGAGAGGAATTCACTCAGCTGTCGCTAGGGGTCCGCCAACACAAATGTTTCCCCCCCCGGTGCTGTCAAGCGAGGGCCCGCATTGTCCCGTCGGTTGCCCGCCGGTTGCTCATCATGGTTGCTCATCATGGTTGCTCATCATGGTTGCTCATCATTGTCCCGCCGACACAAGTCGCCCAAGCGAAAAACCAAAAAAAAATCCACCACGTCATCCACACCATCATCGCCCATCATCACCACGTTCAACACAGTTGTCGTCATGAGCCACCCCCCTCCCCCCACCCCCCCACAACCTCCTTATCACCCGCAGGGTGGTCGTATAGGTATGGTTGAGATTATGTGTCACGTTCACCAGCGAGCACAGGTTTCGGACAAAAAAGGCGATGGGAAGGACCTCCTGCTCTTCATACTCTGCCTCTACTCCTTCCTCCTCCTACTCCTCCTCCTCCTCCTCCTCCTCCTCCTCCTCCTCCTTCTCCTTCTCCTTCCCCTCCTCTGTCTCGCAGAGGACGCCGTCTCCGTCTATCAGTCGATGACGATGACGACGACGACGACGACGACGACGACGACGACGACGACGACGCCCACGCCGACGCCGACGCCGACGCCGACGCCGACGCCGACGCCGACGCCGACGACGACGACAACGACGCCGACGACGGCGCCGACGACGACGCCGACGACGACGCGCGCCGGCGGCCGGCGCCCGCCTTGACGCTGCTCCTCGCCCGCGCCATGCGCCTCTTGAGGGAGGTGCCGCCCTGGCGGGCGCGGTTCGTGGACAGGAAGCACTCCACGTCCAGCGTGTCCCAGGACCTGCCGGGGGCAGGCCTCCCCCCCTCTGGCCTTCGCCTCGCCCCTCCAGTTCTCGCTTCCTCCCCGCCCCCTCCCTCCTGCCTTCTCCCTCCCGCCTCCACCTCCTCCTCCCCTGCCTCCCTCCTCCTCCTCCTCCTCCTCCTCCTCCTCCTCCTTCTTCTTCTTCTTCTTCTTCGTCTTCTTACTATTATTATTATCATCATCAGTATTAGTATTATTAATATTATTAGTATCATTCGTACTTTTATTATTAGTACTATTATCCTTATTATTCTTCTTAACATTATTACTATTATTATATTCTTCTTATTATTACTAGTATTATTATTAGTAGTAGTATTATCAGTATTAGTGTCATTATTATTAACATTCTTATTATTATGGTTATTATTAGTATTAATAGTATTATGGTCATTGTCATTATTATTCATATGCTTAGTATCGTTATTATTATTATGCTTATTATTATTCTTATTCTTAGTATTATTCTTATTAGTTTTATTACTCTTAGTATCAGTATGCTTAGTATTCGTATTATTCTTATTATTCTGATTATTATTACTCTTTCTCCTCCTCCTCCTCCTCCTCCTCTTCTCCTCCTCCTCCTCCTCCTCCTCCTCCTCCTCCCCCTCCTCCTCCTCCTCCTCCTCCTCCTCCTCCTCCTCCTCCTCCTCGCCTCCGCCTCCGCCTCCACCTCCGCCTCCTCCTCCTCTCCTCCTCCTCCTCCTCCTCACCTCTCCTCCTCCTCCTCCTGCTCCTCCTCCATCCCTTCTCCCAAAAGATAACTGCTCCCTGTCGCACCCTGAGGCCAGTCTTCTAGGGCGGGCCGGGCGCTTCGCCCGAGATTTCGTCACCGTTTCTGTCTCCGAAGCTTGCAAGAATGACAACAGCTGCACAGATGGACGGCGGGCCGCTTGCAAAAAGGTGGCTCTCGCCTGTAGCGCCGCGCACACTCGCTTCAAACGTTTACAACACTTTCACGGGTTCAGGGCGGCTCCTTTTTCAAAATGTGGCTCTCGCCTCAGCGCCGCGCACTCTCGTCTTAAAAATGTGCAAGAGCTTCACGGATCGAGGGCGATTCCTTTTCAGAATGTGGCTCTCGCCTTAGCGCCACGCACATTCGTTCTTTCAAAACTGCAAGAGTTTCACGGATGATCCCCATGATGAACGCACCAGAGACGGCATTTTGGAAAGATTCAGGATTATGCGGGCTCAACAGTTATGTTGAGTCGTTGTATTGAAGTCCCTAAAAAGGCGTTCTGGAACGACTCTGGATCGTCAAGATGCAGCAGTCAGATTGGTACGTGGCGTTGGAATCCCGAGAACAACGCATTGGCATCCTTCAAGATCTTCAAACTGTTGTCTTCCAACGAGGCAGTTCCCTCAATGGAAATGAACCGTTGTAGGGGCCTATGAAGAGGGAGTTTGGAGGGAGGGTTAATTCTAACATCGTTGATGACTCTTGGGTTTCCATTAAGTCGGGCCTGTCCCCCTACAGGGGGATGTTCAACAAAAATATACAAAAAAGATACCCCAAAAATAATCAACAAATAATCCAAAAAAAGTCCGGGGACTATTTTTCTAGTATTGTTTGACCTTCTTGGTGCATTCTTGGGGTATATATTATTTTTCGTCGAACATCCCCCCGTAGGGGGACAGGCCCGACACAAGGTTTCCACTGGTCCTCCTCCTCCTCCTCCTCCTCCTCCTCCTCCTCCTCCGCCACCTCCTCCACCTCCTCGTTCGTGGGCGCCGAGAGGGATCATTGACTCGAGGTCCAGGGGCCGTCCCGAAGCTTCGAAGTTGCGGGCAGCGCCCATGTGGTACCACAATGCCCTGCCCCGTCCCAGGCTGACCTCGCAGACTGAGAATGCTGCGAGGTCTGCAATATCGGCCCTGCCAGACTGCTGCCCAGGGCCACCCTTGAGACCAGCACTCACAAAGTCAGGAACGACTGCACAGGGCACCCCAGAGGGCACACCTCTCCTCCAAGAGCAGCCCGTGCGCCAGAGATGTGAGAGAGCGACTTCTGCGCACTCTGCCCTGGTGGCAAAGTCCTCCCCCCTACGATAGGGGCGGCAGCCCCGCGCCCTCCTCCGAAACTCCCCCCCCCCTCGATTCCGTCGTCGTCGTCGTCGTCGCCGCCGCCGCCGCCGCCGCCGTTGCCCCCACCACCAAAACCAACGCCGCCACAGTCACCGCCTCCACCGCCGCCAACGGCGACGACTCCCCTTTCCCCCCGGCGCCGGCAAACGACAACACCAATGACAACGATCATGACGACGACGTCGACGACGACAACGACTCCTGCCGGCAAGCGACAACAACTCCGACGACGACGTGTCACGCCCGCCCGACGGACTCGCCCACGAAGATCACGTATCCCGTTTTCCCGCCTGCTCGGACGACTGCCGACTCGCCTACGATGACGACGACGACGACGACGCCGACGACGACGACGACGACGCCGCCGCCGCCGTCGCCGCCGCCGCCGCCCCCGCCGCCGCCACCGCCGCCGCCGCGATCGTCGTTGTCGTCGTCGTCGTCGTCGTCGTTGTCGTCAGCGTCGGCGTCGGCGTCGGCGTCGGCGTCGGAGTCGGCGTCGTCGGCGTCGGCGTCGTCGTCGGCGTCGGCGTCGGCGTCGGCGTCGGCGTCGGCGTCGGCGTCGGCGTCGACGTCGGCGTCGGCGTCGGCGTCGTCGTCGTCATCATCGCAGGCGAGTCGGCAGTCGTCCGAGCGGGCGGGAAAACGAAATACGCAATCGTCGTGGGCGAGTCTGTCGGGCGGGCGGGACACGTCGTCGTCGGAGTTGTCGTCGCCTGCCGGCGCGAGTCGTCGTCGTCGAAGTCGTCGTCATGATCGTTGTCATCGTTGTCGCCGTGTGCCGGCGCCGGGGGGAAAGGGGAATCGTCGCCGTCGTCGGCAAAGTCAATCGATCGGGCGGGCGAGACACGTGGTCGTCGTCGTCGACGCCGTCGTTTGCCAGCACACCTCGTCGTCGTCGTCGTCGCCACCGTTGTCGTCGTCGTCCACCAGCGCACGTCATCTTCGTCGAGGTCGTCGTCGTCAGCTGGCGCCAGGGGGTGGCGCTTGCCGGCGCCAAGGGGTGGTTGGAACCACCCACCGCTCCCGAATCTCACTTTCGAGGGAGGGGGGAAGAGGGGAAGGCGACGGCGCCCCCCCCAGGACTGCTTTTGACCATGGGGGGGGTTCGCCCCCCCCCCCCCAACCTGACACCCTCCCACTGTACGACTCGACCGAAGACAGGAGAACATCCTTCAAGAACACGAGACCCTCCACCGGCCAAGCGGGGGAACAGTCGAGATGCCCTCCTCCAGGAAGCACAAGAGCAACCAACAAGCACGATGAAGATGGCATACGGGTGTTGTTTTGTTGAACCGACCTCGATATTATACCCTGATCCGACCGTACTCCAGATAACGCTTTCCCAGATGTGTGAAAATAAAGCATGAAAACACAAAACACACAACAACAACAACAACAACAACAACAACAACAACAACAACAATCACTTTACCCGAACGCTCAGTGTTCTCACCAGTGCCAGGGTTTTCATGCGACGCCAGCCAATACCCCCACTTTGTGGGGGGGCAGTGCAAGCTCTACCAAATATCCACACGACTCTTCGCCACCACCCACACCCAGCTTCCCGCCCTATGACGTTCGGACACTTCACTTCGTGGCCTGCGGACGACCGTGGCTACTACACTGGCGTGGAGTACACACCCACAGAAGTTGTTAAGCCTACGTTCGTACACCCACAGAAGTTGTTAAGCCTTGTTAACCCACAGAAGTTGTTAAGCCTTCCACAGAACATCTGTTGCATATGATGCATATGGTACATGATACACATGATACACATGATACGTACTCACAAGATAGTTGATCACATCTTTAGGGCAAATTCCTGAGGGATGTGGGAATACACAAGAGAGAGAGGATATGGTTGTCCCGATGGTTGTCTCGATGGTTGTCCCGATGGTTGTCCTGATGGTTGTGGTTGTCCCGATCGTTGTCCCGATGATTGTCCCGATGGTTGTCCTGATGGTTGTGCTTGTCCCGATCGTTGTCCCGATGACTGTCCCGATGATTGTCCCGATGGTTGTCCCGATGGTTGTTCCGATGGTTGTCCCGATGGTTGTCCCGATGGTTGTGAGGCGCCGAGGGCGCAACCTATGGCGCAACCGCAAGGGATTGTGGCCCCTGGCAGGCGCGCGAACCCCGTTGCAAGAGCGTGCGAAAGTAGCTCGCGCGAGCTCATGTAACATAAATGTTGGAAAACCATTGGTTGGTTTAGGATTCGGACAGCGCGCGCGGGTAGAAATTTTGAAAAGTCGTGCAGGTGTTTTTCGAGGACCTACGGTGCGATTCGTGTGA